CCCGCCCCCCCCCGGCCCCGCGGAGCGCGGCTGCCCCTGCGGCTAGCGGGCCGGGACGGGGATAGGGACAGGGGCAGGGACGGGGAGAGGGACGGGAAGCCTCCTGGCTGCTGGTGGCCTCGCTGTGCCCGCAGCGCCCGCCCGGGGTGGGTGCCGAGCGGTAACCGGCGCCCCTTTCCCTGAGTCAACAGGCTCTGAGTGACGCTCGCGGGAGTTTCCCACTTCTCTAGCGCAAAGCAGGAGTTACTTTGCCCAGTAGGGAGGGAAAAAAATGCTTTTAAAAAGCCCCTACAATGCACAGTGCACGCTCGGTTTCTCTGCTTCAACAGGTTTCCCGTGCCCAAGACGCTGGCAGTGTAACTTGCAAAGTATTTCCCCTGGAGAGACTGCTCTGAACGCAGCAGTGCATAGAGAGCTGCTTGCTCTGGACAGCAGCTCTAGTCTCATGTGAACCTGCGAGAGGTAGGCACATCTGTTGGGAATTAATATGTTTATGCACATGATTAGCTGGCCTGCTTCTGCTCAGGCTTCGGGGTGCTCCCTGAGGCACCGTGAGAAGTTGCCACGTGTTGTTCTGGTGACCCGTAGTGCTGAGATGCCAGGAAATACCCAGCAGAATGCTGTTCATCTTCATACTGTGTCTTTACAGTGTTTGAAAAACTTCCCAGGAAATTTCTATTGTTGCTCCTGTACTTCACCCCTCCTTTGTCAATATAATGTTTTTCACTTGAAACACTTTTAAACAGCTTCTGCAGGTTTGACTCTGTTTGTTTACTGAGAACTTTACCGTAACGCATGTGCAGCTTAAAGCAGTTGTTTTCCAGTATTCCCAGTATATCTTTATTCCAACATGAAATCATAGTTCTCATCGACATAGTTCTGGCAACTCTTACAGCTTTTTGCATTCACAGGACTTTCTCAAGCTGTGGAGCTAATATCTCTGTAATTATGCCCTTATTAGAAGGAATACACTGTTTGGTAATGCTGAATTGGTACCAACTCTACAATCTATTGCTGCTAGTAATTAGCAAAAAAGCTTTGGGGATCTCCTGAACACCCAAAATGCCAAGTTCATTCAAGATTGTGAATTTTGGGCTTGAAGATATTCCAGGTGTTGAACTGATACGGTGTAACCCAGGGTGGTTAGATTAGTGTGGATATTTGGTTTTGTGGGGGATTGGGAGTCCTGGCTGGGTGTACAGAGCAGAGTTAAGGGCAAGGAAGAGTTGGCAACTTTCCTGACGGGGAAGGAAGAGGAGGAAAAAAAAAAAAAGTTGTGTGGTTGGAGAGAAAAAAAGGGGAAAAGAGGCTTCTTTTTTTTTTTTTTTTTTTTTTAATGATTGCAAGGTGTTCTGGACATGGGATTACTGCTTCTTACGTTACCTATTTATCCCAGCAGCAGGCAAGTCGGGGTGTGAGTATCCAGCCTAAATGTAGGCTGCTGCAGACCTGCCCACAGCCAGTTGCACCTTCCCGCTGCCTGCTCGGGTTGGCAGCCGCCCTCCAGCAGCCTTGCAGCGAGCGAGCCCCAGCTTAACCCTTCTGGAGAGGGCTGCGAGTTGTTTCTCTGGCACAACTCACAATGTAGCATGAAAATATTAGTGCTGGTACAAGTAGATGGGAAAAATATGCAGCCAGAGATGAAGGAAGGCAGGAAGCATCCATATCTGTTGCAGTGCAGACCTAATTCATGTTATATAACCCCATGACTTCATGATATAATTCTGAAGCTAAGGCTGGCAGTGCAAGAGGAGTTCTGCCTCCCTTCTGCTCATGTTTTCTGCTCTCAAGCTTGCTCCCTTGTAATGCCAAAGTGTGATCATGAGGTGTGAAGTAGTCCATTGAACTACATATATATATATATATATATATATATGCATATATAACTATGTTATAACTGTCGTAGCAAAAATACTTATGGTCTTTACTTGAGCTGGATCAGTTCATGGACATGGTTGTGCTCAGGGGAGATGGAAGCAGAAATGAGCATCTAGGAGTATAGGTGAGTGCAGGACTAGTTCTTCTAGTAACAGTTCCATCTAAAAGTGTCGAGCTGCACTACTTTGGAGTTTCATTGCCTGTTTTTTACTACATGAAACTTGGGTTTTAGAAAACTGCCAGTAAATTGTTGAGTGGGGTGTCCTTAAATATGGGCTATGATCAACGATTCTCTTTATTCTTATGTACCAAGTAGAAAAGCAGGCGTAGGGTTACAGTTCTTTGTGGTATCCCAAAAATAATTCATCCCACCTGCAGTCCAGGGCTTTGCTGATACTCCCAGTCTCAATCAGTAAGGAAAAGGCTGGAAGCTAGGGATAAATTTCAAGTACTTTTTTTCAAATTGAGATTTTAATTTAGAATTTTTCCATATATAAATTAAATTTCCTAATTAAATTTCTAATTAAGTTTCCATTTTCGATGGAGCTCATTTGGAGCTGAACTCCATTGCCTCTTCTAGAAGCTGGACATTGTCTTTTAAATCCCATTGCACGCAATCTTTGAAATCAAGTTCTGCATGTACAGGATGTTACAGTTTATTATGTAAACTGTTACAAGTTAAGTGTCTTCTGGAAATTTTTGGTAAGTACAGAATCAGCTTTGGTACCCTGAAGCTTTCAAGGAACATGAGAGCATGCCTGCAAGTCATTTTCAGCCTTCCTCAGTTTAGTAGTCCCCAGGCAGTCAAATATAGTATCTTTCCTTATTCCTTGAACAGTCCTTCACTTGAAATTGAAAGGAAACCTACGCACTTATTTAAAGATGTGCCCTAGACATTAAAGTGAATATTCCAGGAGAAACTTTTTAAAGGGGAGAGGTAGTTTGCATTAGTAACAGTTCTTTCAGACAATAAACATGGACCCAAGGTTATGAACAACCGACCAGTTGGTGGTCAAAAAACAAAAAACTTTCGTATGAAATGATGGTGGGCTTTAAGACAAAATATATGCACTTAGGAAGCCTTTTTGTAACAAGTATTACTGAAATCCAAGTGTGTCCAAACTGTTGCAGAATTTGCTTTGCCACTGAGAAATGCAGCCGTGTTCAAGCTAAGAGGTAATTGTTTTATTACATTATGGTAAACTTTAATCTTAAAATACATGTAATCTTTGTATAGAAGCAAAGAAACAATGGTTACAAAGTTCATTCTGCTTTGAAATTTCAAATTTGTGACCAGTTAATATTGGCCTAAACTGATGCATCAGTGTTGATAAGCTGTAGTTTATGGAGTTGATACTGAAATTGTTTAGAAAGTGTAAAAAGTTGAGAGTGTTCTGTGAGAGAGGAGGGGAAAAAAAAGTCTCAATAGTTCTTCTAGTTAGTATTACTGAATTGTAGATGCCTTAACTTACCTTGCAGTGTTTCTGGTATTGCTATTTTTAAATATAACATGTGGCTAACTGGTGCTATATAGTGACATACACCACTTATAGGTGTTAGTCCTCAAACACTGTAATTACAATACAGTTAAGTTGGATTATGCTTGTATGCCCAGACTGTGATTCACATTTAAGCTACTTTTATCTAGTTTTTACTTAGACCTATGTCAGCACATGCATCAAATGTTTATGTGAGCTGAGTTTTATTTCAATTATTTGTGCTCAGACACATTGGACTTATTAACTGAGTTTGATATTAATGCAAGTCATAATTTTATACATGTTTTTAGTTACCTGCTTCTTTTTCTTAGCTTTCTCTTTCCTGATTACTTTTCAGGTCTATTAACTCGATCATCTTTTCAGTGCTGAAACAACATTGGGAATTATGGATAAGAACATTGGAGAGCAGCTTAACAAAGCTTATGAAGCCTATCGACAGGCATGCATGGATAGGGACCATGCTGTGAAAGAACTACAGCTAAAAGTATGTGTTGGGTTCTGAATTGTTTTCTCAAAGCTGTCCTTTCTGTGGAGAGTTGTGGTAAATGTAGATTTCAGTTTCACTTTAGCTATGCACGCTTTAGTACATCTGTTAAAGTTGGAAATCGCAGTTATGAAAGCGGCCAGTACGCTGCAGAGTGACTCATTATGGTGCAAAGAGGTAGGTGGGTTTCAGGCTTTTGACCTTTTGTGTGTGTGTGTGTGTGTGTGTGTAACTTTAAATGTGAGAAAGGTGTTGCCTGTTGTGGAAGATTAGTGAAATCTTTTAATGTAAATAGCAAAGATCAATTCACAAGTCCTCCAGCTTTAGTGAAGCATATTTTGAAATTTAAATCACTTTATTCAATAGTGATTTTTTTAATTCAGCTATCTACATTAACAATTTAATATCTTAAATATCTTAAATCATTTTTGTGTTAACAGGAGGATGTATCACATAAACTATTAAGTTATTTGGTGTAAGGACTGAAGACACCTTGCAAGCTATTGGTGCTTGTTAAGCACCTTGCAAGCTATTAGGACAAGAGAGTTTGTGTCTTGAACAACAAACTTATCTTAAAATGATTTATAAAATCGTATATAGAATTTCTCTTTAATAATGAACTAACAGAAGCACATTCTGGGAGGCACTGTGAACACTGAGGTGCACTTTGAATATTTCCTTAATATATATATATATGTATTTAGCCATTACTTCAGCCACAGATATTTCTAGAGCCTTCTGTCATACACAGAGACCGGCATCTTGCAAAAGCTACCAGTGTGGGGCTTTGCAATACTAATTTTATTGTGCATATTCTGCCCAACAGTGGAACTTTTGCTATTTTACAGGAATGTTTGTACATTCTTTATGCTACAGCATTTTTGTATGCTTTGGTAGAGCTTATAGGCTGGGACTTTATTCAAAGGCAGATGAACCATACTTTGTGTGGAATTATAAAAGCACTGGTATAACTGGGAATAGGGAAAGGCCTGCGAGAAGATGCTCTCCCATCTGGATACAATTTTCCCATCCTCCTGTTGTGAAACAAATGAGCTCAAGCTCTGTGCAACAGGTATGGGCTCAGCCACCCACTCCACAGTCTTATGTACGTTCCTAGTCAGGCGGTGCTGATCCAAATCTGTTTCTGTGGAGTTTTCCATACTTGACAAGTGCAAGTAGCAGGTCAGAAACATTTTGTGCTGAAATTGGAACTAACTTAACAAAGGGCAACTTACAGGAGAATGTCTAAGAATCTATTAAATGCTGTCTCTTATGATGAGCAGTTAGTTACTGAAAGGAAACCAGTCAAGCTAATATTTCAGGGGCATCTAGCAATACATGAAATAAATTCCTGCCCTCAAAATAAGACATCAAATACAAGGCCAAGAGATATCATATCTGAAGTCCACAGAAGAAAACCAGAAAAGTAGATGAGATATGAATATTTTGTTTAAAAGAACTGTTTGCAATATTTCTCATTGCATTTCCCCTAATTGAGAAATTCTTTTTAAAAAAAAAAAAAGTCATACCTTTCATAAAGGATTACTACCAGTTCAAATCTGTGTCCTAGTCAAACTTTCAGCAGTTGGATTCTGTGATTTCAGAAGAAAACAGAAGGATTTTCTCAGGAAGAGCTGATCATTTAAAAATTTGTTTGTGGAGTTTTTGTTTGTTTGCTTTTTTTTTTTTCTTTTTTCCCTTCATAACCAAAGTCACGGTTTCGAAATGACCTTTGTACAATGCTTGGCTCTAGCAGCTTCCTCTGTACGTTACGTGGCCTTCGCACTTTGCTGGATTGTCCACCATGCTGTTGTTAACAGTTTACTACTTAAGTTACCGATAGGCCACTTGTTTTGCCAGTCTCTAGAGCTGGGAGCCATGTCAAGCACACAGAAGCCAGAGTCATCTCGGCCAGATGGTGTTTGATACAGATGGATGGTTGGTTGTCATGCAGATCTTCTAGTTGGTAACTTGTTGCTGCCATCTGACTCAAGGAATAATTTGTGCACACTGGCTGTCAAAAGCATCTTCTCTTCTGTCTGTTTTAGCTGTCATGTCTGTGCTCTGTACAGAAGTGTTGACAAGACATTGCTGTTGTACATTTTCAATTTGGTTCTCAGTGATTTTTCTGCTTCATGAGGTCTCTTATTGCTGCTGGAGTGTACTGCTCTTTGATCACTTTTTTTTTTTTTTTTTTTAAAGAACTATTGAAACACAGTGTATCTAATACCTGGCCTTTTAAAATAAACTTTGGTTTTAGATGTATTCTGCATACTCTTCAGACAAGCACATCCTGTGGGGAGAGAATTGAAATGTAATTGAGATTTGGAATTAAACAACGGTACAAATAAACCTGAAGTAGAAGAGTAATGCTTGGGCTTGTCCCAAATTTTGATCTACTCAGGAATAGATCTATCCTATTTTCAGAAAAATTTAGTGCATTCTCGTGTGTTTCCTTGATGAAATTTCACAAGTTTTCTTGCTTGTGTTTAGCACTGCCCTAACTGCAACATTAAAGATGTGCTAATGAAATAGTAGTTTTTGAATATTAGCATCTTCCTGTCACCTGACCATTTGTTCAATTAACTGGCTGTCTAATAATAATTACACACTTCAGTGATATGTGAGCAGCCTTATTAGGCTTTGTATGGCCAGATTATAGCACAAGATGGAGTAAAATTCAATGAAAAATTTAGTTGATCTCTTTATCTGCTTCCTTGTCTTCCCTCCTTGTTTTTGTTTGGTTGGTTTGGTTTTTGTTTGTTTTGGTTGGTTGGTGAGTTTGAAAAATCAGCTGCACTAGATTCAAAGGAACAGGCAAAACTCTGTATGTAGGTAAAGCTATTGAAAACAGTAATTTTGCTTTATATCCTCCAAAAAATATTTTCTGGTTTTAAAATAAATCTTTTTTTTATCTATTTTAATATATTTTATTTGTTAGAGTGGAGGAAGAAATTTGCATTTTTCTCTATGTAAACTAAGCAGCACTTGAAAAAGTAAATACTAGAATTCTGATTTTAGACCTGCTGTGTTCTATGGCTGTGAAGGAAGATGCCTACACTAAACTTACCCTACACCTTACAGCTGTCATGGTTAAAACACAGTTACTGAAAATCAGGATTTATTTGCTGTAATGCTTTCCTAATCAATGCAGTCTCAGCAGTGCAGCCTTGCTAGAGGTAATGATAGCTGGGTTTACATGGAGAGGTCCACAACTACAACTGTGTTTAAACTCAAAGCTGATGATCTGTATATATTAAATTTGAGGTCTGTGTTAAAGCAAGATAAGATTAATGCTACTTAAATTATATTTGCAGACAGAAAACTACATGCAGCAAATAGGTGAACAGCAGGAACAGATAGAGCTTCAAAATAGTATTATTGCGAAACTGAAATCACAGTTAGGTGCTCTGAATGCTAATAGAGGTACGTACCCAAGTTTGCACATGATATTTCTTTCTATGCTGTGTTGCACTGAGAAATAGATCTGGGATTGTTGCTTCCGCTTTTACATTAAATATCCCTCAAAGCTATGCCATACTTTTCTGCGAAAGTGAGAGTTAATACAATTGTGCAGTTTCAAACTGTATTTATAAAATGCATCGCTTTCAAGGTCTTTCTGCATCCTCCTCAAGAAACAGAGAGATTTTCTTCAGATGAAGAACCTGCTCACACTAAGGTCAAAAGTTACATGAACACAGATAAAAATAATTCACTGTAATTAAAACAAAATTGTTTTATATCATTTTACAGTTGTCTGTAAATAGGTTTAGCTGCTAGGTTGTTTTAGATGTGATTGCTATAGATACATGTCTATTCTGATAGGAGCTAATGTGCTGTTGGGATGCTATTCTTACTGGATAACTAAAGCTTTATAAGCAGGTAACATTTCTTCAAATCAAACAGTCATTGATGGATATTTTTCTACTGTTGGACTATTTGTATTTCACAAATAACAGAAAACAGAGAGTCAAAGTAACCATGTGTTAATCTGGCATACTTGTTCAATATTTACTCACACTAATACTCCTAGTTTTGATAAATACTAGCAAAGTGGCTGACGTATTTTTAAGAGTACGTGTACTTTCCTTACTGCTGAGTTAGTCTTACTTTTTCTCTAGACAGAGAATTGAACTTCTCTTGCTGTTTTAGTACAAAAACTAACTAAAAGAAACTGAAGAAGTTAATATAAGTCCATCTTTCTTTTTTTTGGGGGGAGGGAGGGTTTAGAATCTGGCTAGGGAAAATAGTGACAATCAGCTGCTTTTTATTTCAAGGTAACATGCATTCTTACGTTCTGATGCCTGAAGAAATCCAAACCTCCAACTTAACTTTCAGCCAGCTCTCTGAAAAACTGAACATAGCAAAGCAAAGAGAAAAGCTCCTAAAGGTATGGTCGCCTGCAGATGTTTAATGTAAGATCACGTTTGTGCTGTGATTATACTGTGAGGATTTAAAAAGAAAAGAGAATTTTCCCTGTACCTTTGAATTGCCCTTTTTCCCTTGCAAGATTCCTACCTGAAGTGCATGGGGACTGTGCCCATGTGGTTTGCCAAGTTGAACTAATGAGCATCTTTGATGCTTCCCTATGCAATAGTTCATTGGCCATCCAGCTCCCTAGGATAATTTTGAGGAACTTGTTGCTTGTTTATTTCGTAACCTGCTGTAAATAACAGTCAAAAGAGATTTCCTCTTTCTCTCAGAAGAGCTTCTCATTCTGCAGCTAGTGAGAGCTATTCATTTTCAGAGAAATGAATAATCTGTTCTCACAAAGTAATGGGGTGGAAAGTCAACGCGTGTCTATCTGCTGCTCTGCAAGCATGAATGATATGTTTGCTTTTTAAACAAGCCAGTTCTAACACTGTGTCTTTCCTTCTACTCTTCACCTATTAGCTGAATAGCACTGACACTTTCACTACTGCCTGCTGAGAGAAGCGGGAATAATAGAGTGAGAGCAAGTACTTTTCAAATACCTTGAAAAGTTTTGTGTATTTTTGGAAGGCATTAAAAAAGGTGCACAGATTTGTGTTGTTCTTATCTCATGTCAAGCTGCTGTGTTTTTGGGTTCAGAGTACTAATATTCATGGCAGTAACCTGTAAAATCATCTCAAAAGACCTATGTAAAATTAGCCATAAAATTAAAAATAGTTCATTTCAGGGTTTGTTTCCTGAGTGTGAACTAGGAACAAATGAATCATGCTCAATTCACAGAAATGCAGTCTTCAAAGAAGTATGTATTTTTTTAAATAAAAAAAAAGGAGAGTAACAAGAGATTTAAGATGTTTTTGTAAGGTTTTAATCTTGATTAAGATATCTTCAGGATAGTTAATAGACATCTGTAAATCGATAAAATTATTTTCCAGTTAACATTTCTGATTATAGATTCTAATCCCATTATATAAATTCTTTCCTATTCTTTGTTATATTTTGAGTACAAGATGGTTGAAGGGTTAATTCTTGGATGGAATATTTTCTCTGCCTTGAATTGGACAATACTTTTTTCTAAGAATTGTACATGGAGACTTGTCCAAGCTTAGTAGTCCATGCTCTTGTTTCTGAATGCTTGCTCAAGGAAAACAGTTTAAGTAACCTAATCATGAAATGGGTATAAGAAAGGAAGGCATGTTAAGCACTCTTGTCATGGGGGGAAACACTGGGAACTGATGTGATCTATAAAGATCTTTACAGGCAGTGAATAACAGGTAGAAATCATTAGTTCAGGTCCCAATGGCTTTTATGTGATGGGTTATAAGTGGTTTGTCCTTACCTGCAGGTTGGTTTAGTCAGTTATGATGGTTCCTTCTCAATAATAAGCAGTTGAGCTGGATTTTGTTTCATCTGTGTCATGGACAGAAAGGTTTTGATATAACTCCATGCAGAGTCAACAATTAGCTTGCTTGTGGAGCAAGAGTCTGTCTGAACTTAAGCCCAAGCACAGTGCTATGCAAATAAGGCCTTATCAGAAGGATTCAGCTGAGACCTAAACCACTGCTAGCTCAATGCAGAGTCGGATGTACTGGATGAAATGAATGTGTGGAACAAACTGGGCAAATAGACAAAACAGGACCAGGTATAGCTCATCTAAGAGTTCCCAAGTGTCTTGTAGTTCTGAACACATGAACAAGGAGTCAAGTGGGGACAGATTTTAAAAAAAAAAAAAGTGGCACTTCCTGCAGAAGATTACTGTGGATAATAAGAGTTTCTCTTCAATGGAAAACCGGACAGCTTCATGGAAGAGAAATCTCTCTCTTTCTAAATGCATAGAAACTAAGTGTTAAGGAAGCCTGTGAATTTATTAGAGGATGTATCATGCTTGCATTCTTGTAATCTTCCCTAAACATCATCTTTTGCCTCTGTTAGACTAAAAATCCATCATTCTGTCACTGGCCCACTGTAGTAGTTCTTACATAAAAACATTTTTTGAGATATTATGCCCATTTCCCTTTTATCATCTAAGTTACTTAGTGTAGGGCTCAGTTCAATCAATTACTGGCTTTTTTAACCATTTGAAATTGGAAAGTCATTTAATATTCTACTAGAAAAACTGTATTTTTCTGTATTATCCTATCCATGTTAATTTCTAAAAGAGTATCTAAAACTATTGTCTTCCATTTCATTAACTGCTTTATTGTATTTTTCCAATAATTTTTTTCAGGTTTTCAAAATGTGTAATTCCAGGTAAAAAAAAGAATCATGGTTCCTGTTCTTTATTTTAAGTTAAAATATCATATTTCTGGCTGTCCTTTCTTGAAACCTAGAATCTCTTTCATGACTGAAGGTCTCTGGATTTACCCATACCTACCAGATTTAACAAAACACTATTTCCAGTAGGATTTCTCAGTGGACTATAATCTGCATTCCAGTAGAGCTGATAAAAATGCCAGGTATATGCGACCAAACCTTAATTTTCAGAGGTTTGAAATGGAGGACAGAGGGATGATAGGTTTTCTAGCCTCAAAAACTTGGCCAAACTTATGTATCTTAACTGCTGTTGGCAATTTTGTTGCCAGTGTTTTGTTGCCTGAACTGTTTCCTTTGTTTTCCTGCATTGATTTTAAACACAAACTGATTCCCGCATAACTCTTTCTAGGTACCTGCATTTTCATGTTTATTGGTCAGACTTTATTTTGCTGTGACAAAGGGAAAGAAGCTGTGTCAAGAATGAATGATGTATGTGGTATATAAAATTGTTCAACATGCAATAAATGTTTAGGTCTTTCCCTGAGTAGAATATAGCAGAGGAATTGCAGATGCATAAAAGTCTCTGTGCTCAGAACTGTGCTGCTAAAATGACTTAAGTGATTAGGAACAGCTACTGCAGCAGTCTAATGGAGAGCTGAGTGCTCCAGTCAATATCTACATTTCTAGTCTTTCTTGTTCCTGTTGTCCCTGCAAAGAAAGCCATACTTTATGATTTTAGTTAATACTTCTGCACATTTAGCTATTTTGTACCACTGACATGTATACAGTACCATTAGTTAGGCCCTACTACCTGATCCAAGCAATTCTGGTATTGATTTTTTTTTGATTGTTTCATCTTTTAGGCTGTGTCTACCTAAAAATAACAAAGAATGTGTGGTCAAACTGTTAAAAGACATTACAGTTTATATTTCTAGTAGCTTGGTAGTCAGATAGTGTTTTCCTTGAAACCATCTAAAAGTTTGGTTATCTCAGGAAATCCCTAAAATAGGCCTTTAAAGCATGCTTAAAAAAAAAATTCCTTGGAAGCCCTGTGGAAAAAGAGCTGGGGCTGTGGTGCACAGCAAGCCGAGTGTAATCCAGCAGGGTGCCCTGACAGGAAGGAAAGGGCAACAGCATCCAGGGTATTATATACAGAGCAGAGCAAGGAGAGTCATTATCTCCCTCTATTTAGCACTCATTAGACTAGTTTGGGACCCTCAGATACAGGAAAGTTGTTAAGAAACTTGTGTGAGTACAGCAGAAAGCCCACCAACATAGCTGGGAGCTAGAGTACCTGTCCTGTGAGCAGAGACCGAGGGACCTGCCCTCCTTAGCCTCCAGAAGTGAAGGCTTTGGGAGGAGCTCCAAGGCACTTAGCAATACCTCCAAGGAAGCTATTAGGAGAACAGTCAGGCTCTTCCTATAAGTTGAAACAAGAGAGGTTCAAGAAAAAACTTCTCACCAGTCCAGAGGACGGACATCCAGGCACTAGAAAAGGTTGCTAGGAGAGTGGTAGACTCTCCATCCTTGGAGGTTTTCAAGATCATAGAATCATAGAATACTTAAGGTTGGAAGGGACGTCTAGAGGTCATCTAGTCCAACCCCCTTGCCCACACAGGGTCCCCTAGAGCCAAACTGAGTAATGTGGTCTGACTTCATAGCTGACTGCTTTGAGCAGGAGATTGGGCTAGATACCTTCTGGGATCCTCTGACCTGAGTTATCCTGTTATCCTACAAGGCATCTTGTGGCACAAGACAAGAAAAGTCATTGATTTGTTCAGAATACAGATACAACTTTTCTGCTAGTATCAGCACACATGTGGCCAAGGACTTTAACTGAGTAGACATCACCTGCATGACATGGTTGTCACGGCATTAGTTTTACAAACTTCAGACAGTTTAAAAATTAGACCACATTGTGGGAACCACCCGAATTCAATCAGCTTTAGAACTATAATGTAATCAAACTATGAAGGGCTGTATCATTGCTAGATCTCAAAAGGTTTAACAGTTTCTCCAGTGTTATTCCTGCTATGAGGTCCTGACAGTATGCAAGAAGGAAGACTTGCATCCGTATGTGCTAATTTATCTTTGCAACATGTTGTGTATCAGTGATTGCCATGCTGGTACTTCATGGCTCTTCTCGCAGTTGGCTCCAAAATGGCTTTCCTCATTGTTTTCTTAAATCTTGTCCCCGCTTGCTGCAGGAGAAGGTAGGAGAAATGGAAGAGAACTACTGGAGGTTATTATAGTGCACCCAGTTGCCTGGAAGATTTTGAAAGCCTGCATGGAACTGTGGAGTTATGATAGTTCCAGATGGACAACTCGGATCGTTGCTGTTTCACAGCCTCACTGAAAGAGATAATTCACTGTCCTTAAGAGAGAATTGTTCTTGAAGCAGAAGCGTTCTGTGTGAAAATCCTGAGTGCTGGATAGCCAAGCATGCTGTTTACCAAAGAAAATATAGAAAAAGCTCTTTTTTAAGAGTTGGAATTTGACCATGGTACATTAGGGAACCTTGTGACTGGTTGATGGCTCTGTGCTGTCTTGAGGCCTGTGAACTCCTGCCTTAAAATATTACTGCCTTCCTATTCTTGGAATGGCAAAGAGGAGTTTGCCATAGCAATATCAGCACTCCCTGATAACTGTTCTGTTTCACGCTGCATGACCTGGATGAAGGAATAGGAGCGCAGTCCTGTTCATATTCAACTACAGCTCAGTGCATAAAATGAGGCTGTTATGAGCTTAATGGTTGCTGTAAGTTTTCATGTCTGTTTTATGAAGCCTTCTGTGTAGCTGCTGTAATTTTATTGTTGTTCTCATGCTACGTGATGCTTTTCAGGCCTTCTTTGTAGTCATTAAAGATCATGGAAAAGGTAAATAATTATAAAATTATTTTTAGTCTCTGCCCAAGCTGTAACTTTCTTCAAAGTATTTTCAGATGTTTTGAAAATACTTTTATCCATGTCTCTATCTCCTCCTAACCTAAATTGTTATTTTCTTCCCACATCATTAGATGTTTTTCGCATTCTCTTTTCATCATCAAATATTTCTTTGACTCAATTTGAACTTTATGTAATTCCAAGTTCAGTAATTCTTTTGTGCACTCTCCTTTAAGAAAATCAAGCTTAGCTGATGTAGAATCAGTTACAGAACTTAATGAATGTCTTTTTTAGCCTAAAAACTGCAGATGTTTTGTTTTTTTTCAAAACAACTGTATCCAAAAATGTTTGTGTTTTTTGTTTGTTTGTTTGTTTTTCTTTTTTTGGTCTTTGCTGTATTATTTTCATCATCCACTTCCCTGGACTCTTATCTATTATAAAGAGTATAGAGATTCTGCGCAGGAAGATGATAGGAAGTGTTCCAAGGTCTGTCCTAGGAATACACATATATTCCCCACAACACCTGCCAGCAGTTCAAAGCATGGAAGAAAGGTCCCCCAGCCTAATTAGTAAATGAATTAAGAAGTTATCAATGCCTAAAGCAGAAAAGAACAGCTTTAGATGCATTGCCAGGTCAAAGCTGGTTGAAAGAATGGGATAAATAGGATCTGTAGCCATGGTGATATGAGTTTGCTGAGATAGAAACATCCCGTTTTCAGAAGAAGTTTTGAGGAGTCTCTTAAAGGAGGTTTATTCTGGATTCTTGAGATTCCACCCAAGTCCAGGGATGCCTTGTAGCTCCCACCTTGACTATTTGAAGTAATAATTGAAATTGAAGAAAAAAATAATAATTTCAAATTGAAGAAAAAGCAGTGGTAACTTTCAGGTTTTATAGCCTCATTTTTGTACCATAGATTGTTTTTTCAAAATTATCCAGACTATCTGTGTGCATAGTAAGAAAAAAAAAAAGTTTTCTATATGCTTCTTCATTCTACCAAAAAGCTCACATATATAAAAATTCCACAGATTACCAGATGGATAGTTAAAGTGGGGCAGGTACTGCTTTTTATTTCATAAACCTTTATAGCTTTGCAAATATTCCTGTGTCTACTCCAAAATTAAGGTAGCTGCAGAGTATCACTTTCTTTAAAATTGTTTTAGATTCATTGAAATTAATGAAATATTATCATATATAATACATTTTTGATACATTGGATATGTTAATGTATTTGCAATGCTAAATAAATCAAGATGCTCTATTTTTTATAAACACTAACATGACTTTCCTAAAGTCTAGAACATATAGTTATTCTAACTAATCATCGTTGATGGGATACGTAAATATCTTTACTCCCAGTTCTTTACAGGTCTTTACTACCAATACAAAATTAATAATGTAGTAAATAAGACTGGCCTTTACTTATGTTTGCAAAGGCTTAATTTAGCATATTCCAGGCTATTGAACAGTGATGTTCCCCAGCGTCAATTATATTAATTATATCGGTATTTCTAAAATTATCTTTTAGGAACAGTTAGAAAATGAGAGCATTAGGATGAAGCAAATTGAGGAAAAGAACAATCAAAAGGAAAGGAAGCTTATGTCAATTATTTCCAACCAAGAAGATAAAATAAGAACCCTGAAAATCAAATTGAAAGAGTTAAATGAAGCACAGAAGCGTATACAGATGCCAATATATAAAACGGAGGTAAGATATGAAAACAAATGACGGTAATATGGAAAAAAATGTAATTTTTCTTTCCAATATGTTTATACTAATTAATCTGATAAGTACATTTTAAAAATTAGCACTATGAAGTTACCAGGAAATTGTTTAACTATATGAAGTATATAGGGATCTCTGAACTATTAAATACATATTGGTTGGTTTGTGTGTTAATTATTTTTATGTTATGCCATTAGAAAGTTAAACAATATTTGTGAAAACTTCAGATCAGCACTTCAGTTTTGTAATTTTCAATCTGGAGTTTTCACTAACATTAAGTTGATTTCTTCCTT